GCTGTTTCCCGGGAAGAGCCATGTGCTTGTTCCTATCGTGGAAGAAGCGTGCAGAGGGGCTGTCCCCGGAGGTACGCTGTGTTACCTTGGCAGGTTGGAGGCGGTGCTGTCCATCTCCCAGACGCTGTGCACTGAGCACTGCGGGACCCCTGCAGCTTAAAGCCCCCGCGGCAGGAGAAGTGGCAGGTGGAGCCGACGTTGAATTCTCCGCGAGTGTCCGAACAGTCCAGGCTCCCCCGCTCTGGGGCGAATAATTCTGGACACCTGGTGGCTGGAGAAGCAAATGGAGAACGTCAAAACCTTCATGTTCATTCGGAAGCTTTGCTTTGCACCAATTCCTTCATTCACGCATTCAACAGGTACTTATTGAGCACCTACTATGTGGGGTGTTTGGCTAGGCAGCCGGCATCCCACAGCAAACACGACAGGTCATCTACCACAGGGGCAGCAGGAAGGTGGGTGGGCTCACAGAGAAGGGTGGGCAGAAGTCACGAGAGTGAAGCAGTCCCACTCCAGAAGGCACAGTCCCATCCTCTTCTCTGTACACCTTCGCCTCCAGAGTCCCCAGGGCCCCCTGGGCTCCCACTGTCCTCTGCCCGAGGGTGTGGTCCAGGGCCTCACCCCTGGCCTTCCTCCTGCAGAGACCGCTTCCTCTCAGACACCCTGCCACCTGTCCACACTCGGCGCACCTACCACTGCAGTGACCACCTCTGTCCTCGCCGCTTCCTCCGTTTGGATCCCGGCTGTTTCTTTATTCCACAGCTCCGGGCCCCGGCAGCTCAGAGCCTCCTAGCCAAGCTCCATCAACCCTGGGAGTTCCCTGAACGGGCCTCGAGCTTCCTGCCCCTGGCTCTCGCTCACACCGCCCACGTTCCCTTCTGTTTCCCCTGAAAAACCCCACCAGTCCTCGGGGGTCCAGCCAAACACAGGCTCTTGGCAGCCGCTCCCCGGCCACTGCCGCCGGAGGTCTTCGCCGGGCATAGCATTTCAGAGGTGGTGCTGGCTTTTTAAGCAAAGATGCTAAGCAAAATGAGCCTTCGCTGATTAAGGCATTTCTTTCAGAACAGCCTTGGGTTTAAAGCTCGAGCTTCCTGCCCCTGGCTCTCGCTCACACCGCCCGCGTTTCCTTCTATCCCCTGAAAAACCCCACCGGTCCTCGGGGTCCACCCAAACACAGGCTCTTGGCAGCCGCTGCCGACCACCGCCGCCGGCCACCGCTGCCAGAGGTCTTCGCCGGGCATAGCATTTCAGAGGTAGTGCTGGCTTTTTAAGCAAAGATGCTAAGCGAAATGAGCCTTCGCTGATGAAGGCATTTCTTTCAGAACAGCCTTCGCTGATGAAGGCATTTCTTGGGTTTAAAGAAAGAATAGTCTCTCAGTTCGTGGTTGCGGGCATATCCCCAGTGGGGAGTGTGCAGGAGGCAGCTGATCGATGTTTCTAACTCTCTATCCCTCTCTCTTCCTCTCTATAAAAAAAAAAAATCAATAAAATACATTAAAAAAAAAGAAAGAATAGTCCCTCAGTTCACCAGTAACCCAACATGTGTTGCTCAGTGATAATCTTGTGTGCGAGAATTTAATGGGGAGAAAGACACAGGACTCAGAGAAATGTGCGACTGCCGTCATTGATAAACCCAATCCTGAGGCAAATGGTTAGTCAATCAAAGTCTCATGTATTCGTCCCCTTGGCAATGCTTGTTGAGCCCCACTTGAAACCCTGCTGTGTGAATTGTGGGGCCCACGGGGAGGTGTGGCTTGTGGGTGTTAGACCTCCATCTGGAAGGGGAGGGAAGATGACTCCTCATGCGAGCAGGTGCACCCAAACGAGTCAGGGCTGGAGGGCAAACGCAGGGAGGAGGCTGGGCCATGCAGGCAGAGCCACGCCCCAGAGGGCCCAGGGCTCCAACGAAGGAGGAGTCTCTGTGGAACCACTCGGAAATGACCTCTCGCATCGCACTCTGCGAGGGAGACATGACTCCCCTGTCCCCGCTCCTGCTTGTAGGGGGGCCTCGCCCCTCGGAGGTGCCCTAGGATGCTGCCAAGACCATGCGGACACCAGGGACCTGGGTCAGTGCCGAGGGTTAAAAATTCATGGACTTGGGCGTACGGGACAAGAAGAGGGGCTGTTTGCTAAGCCTTAGAGCGAATTTGGAGAATGAGGTGGAAACACAGCTATAAAAGCCTGAGTTCAAGGTGACAATTCTGAGTCCGTCCCCCCCCCCCCCCCCCCCCCCCCCCCCCCCCCCCCCCCCCGCTTAGCTGAAGCTGCTGTCGAGGTCGGGGTTGGGTCTAGGCCCCGGGCAGGCTGGGCCCACAGGTGGAAGGCAGATGTCTCTTCTTGTGGATGAACGGGGGTGGGGGGGGGGGGGGAGGGAGTTGGGAAGGAAGGGGCAGGCTTCAGAAATTACAGATTTGACAACCATGTCGGTTGCATATGTGATTTAAAACTCGAGTGAGATAATTCTCACAAGGTTTTTTTATTGTTTGGTCTGAAGACAGAATGTGGGAAGACAGAGCTCAAGATAAGTGTTGATGGAATTAATGAATGAGAAATAAGTGAATGAGTGATGTCCTAACGCTGTCACCCACGAATGCTCTGGCGTCCTAGGCGCCTGTCGTGTGTCTTTTTAACAGCAGGTGGCAGCATTTTGTGTCCTTTCACCTGCAGGACTCTTGGCCAGGGAAGAGACCCCGAGGTGACCTTGTCCGCTCCTCTCCGAATGGAGAAACCTGCCCCTAAGGGTGTGACAGGACCTTCTAAAATGGCACGTGATGCCACCGAGGATGACACGGCTCTTGGGATATTAATCTAGTGCCCATTCCACAAGAAAGAATAAATAACATCTTAGTGTTTTTCATATAATGCTAACAATGAGTTTCTATCAGCACATTCTCTCATCTGACCGCCAGGCACTGCTGTTTCTCAAGTTCACTTCAGCAGCCATAACAGCAGCCTGAGGGGTGGCAAAGAGCCAGTTCACAGGCGACGGCCCCAGGTGTGACACCCTGCCCCTGGGGGGCAGTGTGGTGCAGCGCAGAAAACACCAGCCTGGTGGTAGGACCGGACCTGGCTTCAGATTCTGGCACCACACTTCCTGGCGATGTGCCCCTGGCCTGCCCTCTATGCTCTCCAGGCCGCAGTGTCTTCATCTCTAAGATGGGCATAAACGTAGCCGTGTGAAGACCGTTGGGTGGATTGACTGTGGTAACGCCTGTGAAGCAGTTGGCACCGGGTCCACAGCGGCAAATAGCCCCTCTGGCCTCATGATCACTGAGCTCACTGAACAACCAATTGGCACAATGGTACCTTTCGAAAGTAACGTGATCTATGAATTAATAAGTCAGTACGTTTCTGCTTTAGAGTACACTGCATGCCAGATGTTTTGGGGGAAATCAAAGGCTGGCAAGATCCAGCCCCCGCCTTTGATGGTTCCACTAATTCGCTCTCAGTAGGACTGGTGCTTGAATAAATTTTATCAGTGAATGATCAGCTCAATTCAACAGGAATTTGTCACCCCCACCCCCATCTCCACCCCCACTTTCACTCTGTCTAGTTGCTGCCGGGGCACAGAGATGAAGAAGGAGCAGTGCCTGCCCCGAGGACTGTATATCCACAGAGAAGTGGGGGGAGAAAGAAGCGCGGGGTAACCAGGCCCTGAGCTCCTCGAGGGGCGAGATGAAACGATGCCGCCCCCGACATCAGTTCGTCGGGCTCAGCTGTGTTCAGGAAGGGTGAACACAGGAAGGAAGGAGTGGAGAGTACAGTAGAGAAAGGCTGTAAGGGGGGAACATAGAACTGCAGCAAACATTGAATGCCATACTGACATGAGGATACTTTATAAAACTAAATGTTCAACTGAAGTTATCTTCCGAGAGAGAGAGAGAGAGAGAGAGAGCGAGAGAGAGAGAGAGAGAGAGAGAGAGAAGCTGCCTTCGGTCTAGATCAACAGGCTTTGTGGAAAGTGTGTTTCCTTTAGTTTAAGACAGTTTTACATAAATCTCATTCTATGGCTCTGCCCAAGAGAGAAGCCATAGAAAACACAGGCTGGTGATCCTACCTCCACAGGTTGGTGGGGAACCTGTCCAGCGCCCAGATAGAGTGCAATCCAGCCTTTCAGGTCCAGATAAAGAAAACCCCTCGTTGCAGGTGAACTGGCATGTGGACTGATAGCTGGAGTCTCCCAGGGGGCCGACACAGGCCATCGTTCCATTCTGCGGGCTTAGCAGAGGCGTGCAGGTGACAGCTGCCAGGGAAAGAGGGGAGGAGAGAGAGGCTGTTTTAGAACTCTGCGACCCAAAATCTGCACGTGTGAGTGTGTGTGTGTGTGTGTGTGTGTGTGTGAGTGAGTGTGTATGAGTGTGAATGTGTGTGAGTATGTGTGTGTGAGTGTGTGTTCTTAGTACATAAGGACAGCGTTTGGTGATTGAGAGGGAGCGGTGCTTTGTTGGAAGAGAGCAGCGTGGTCATCTCGGCGGCCCCTGGTCAGGAGCGGAAGCGGCTGCTTCCTGAGCACTTTCTTCAGGAGCTGACCTGCTGACCTTCCCCAGAAACAAGGACAGCGACTGGAAGTAGGAAAATGGGCTGAAGCACTCTCCTCCCCTTCCAGCTTCCTGTCCCAGCCAAGAGGTGGACACACTCTGGGCCCAGATCCTGGCTGTTACTCATTAGCAAGGTGTCCCTGGGAAATAAACCTTCGGAGCCTCAGTTGCTCCGTCTACGGAATGGGAAAGTAACAATCCTTGCCTTGCAGGGAATAGCAGTTATATGAAGCAAGTTCATTAAAGCACGCATGAAAACGGAATCTAAAAACCACGGACGCACAGGGGGCACTTCATGTAAATGGCCATCTGCAGAAGCTCTTCCCCAATCTCATCCTCCGGGGCCAGCCTCCAACGACTCTACCTGCTCACTTGCAAAAGAAAGTAAGTAGGATTTCCTGGGGCTTTGCCACAGTTTGTACACGTGGAGCTTGAGGTGCTGGGGACTTGCTGGGTTGGAGATCATGCTCTGTGAGCTTGGGCAAGTCACTTAACCTCTCTGAGCCTCAAAGCTTTACCTTAAAAATGTGGAGAATGGCATTCATGGGTCCCAGGATTTTCACAAGGGTCAAGGGTGAAAACACTGTATGTGAATGTCACCAGCTGGTGAGGCTATCCCTCTGCCAGTTAGTGAAGATGACCAAGTCCAGACGGAGCGTGCTGACAGGAACGATGAAGACTAAGAGACCGCATGCTCCGGCATCCTTCCCTGTTTGACCCGACTGAGCAGGGGGCGCTATCGAGCAGAGGCAGGGGATGTGCGGCTGCAAGAGGACCCTTCTCTAGCCACCGACCTGAACTGCTTAAAGTTTTGACAACGTTTTCTGCACCTTTCTCTTCCCTTCATCCCTTCCCCTCTCAACTACGTTCCCCCTAATCTGATGGACTTATCAAAAAACCTATCTCTTTTCTGCCACTTGAAAAGCCCATTTGCACTCAGGGTGTGTGTGTGTGTGTGTGTGTGTGTGTGTGCGCGCTCGCGTGCGGCGGGGAGGGGGGAGGGGAGCCTGTCGTCTGTGAGAACAAACAGGGAGGCCTTGGTGCCATGGAGCCCATGTCCAGCTCTTCTGTGGCCGAGCCTGTGGCAGCCAGGGTGGGCTCGGGGGTGGGTGGGCCTTGAAAAGGGAAATAGATAACAGGCTCTCAAGAAGTATTGCAACAGCTGGCGGATTGCAAGCCTGGGTGCCTTCCTGCCCCGCCCACACGTAGGTATTTCACTGGATGCTCAAGAGGAGAAAGTTCGGTCAGAGTAAACAAGGCACCAAAAGCAGAAGGGACTGGAGGTCACAGGAAGCCGCAGTGCATGCCAGCCTCCTTGCTGCGCCACGCCCACGCGGGACGGTGGGGCAATGAGCTGCAACCCGTGCCCGCGCCGCCCGGGCTGCCTGGAAGGACTCTGATGACCCCCGGCCCCAAAGCCGCGTGGGCTCTGTGCCGCGTCCAGGCTTCCAGGAGGCCAGGACGAGAGCGGAGGCGCAAGCTCTCAGCCTCACCAGGTCTCTCCAGATGCAGCTCAGACTGTGCACCCGCCCGGCTCCCAGGGCTTGTGGTGCTCACTGTGCTGGGGGTGAAGGCCCCAGGCTGCTGAGGGCATTCATTTATTCACTCATTCATTCATTCACTCATTTGTTTACTGTTGCGCTAACAATGGTGTGTGTGTGTGCACGTGTGCACGTGTGCATGTGTGTGTGACCTGAATAGCAAGTGGTTTCCTCTCCATTAACACCAGATCCGCCTGCTTTCACTCAGACATTGAAAGCTTGTGCAAGGGAAAGGCAAAGGCCAACAACCAGAGTTATCTAGCATTTTACCTGTTTGATTTTATTATGAAAACTGCGGACACATCATAAAAATGCTAATTGCCTGGAGGGAGAAGTGGATGGGGACCGTGTGGAGAAATTTATACAAGAATGCTCACGGTGTCTATTTTAAGGTGGGGGCATTTGAGAGGATTTTTAATGTTTCTCTATTTTCTTATTTTCAGTAGCTTTCATAAATGAAAACATTGCTTTTGAAAAGCAGTACTTGCCATAAATATAACTAAAAATCTATTCCTTACGTGGAAAAGGACAGGGGAGTGTGAAAAGCATCCGTCTGTGCTTCAGTTCCCAAACACCTGTGATCACACCGCGCTGTGTGTCACACAGGGACACACAATGGCTTTGTCTCATATCAAGTCCCACGCAGATGGGCCTGCTGAGGCTGAGTGTGCACTTTCTCATTCTGAGAATTGCATAACCTTGCGTCTATAGACGAGTTTCTTCCTCTTTCTGTCTCTCACCTTCTCCTACGCTTATTTCTGCAATCTGACACAGAACTGGAAGGTGCTGCAGCCAGCACCCTATATTCTGCCCCTCCCCGCTCCACCCTGATATGGCCTGGACCCCCGCCATGCCACCAGGAGACTCCATGCACTCTGGGGTAGGTGCCAGTGCAGCCTGGACAGCGGCCTCAGCTGCGTGTGGCCTGTGGCCTTCTCTGGAGATGCTGGTTCAGCCCGGTGAGCACAGTTCACCTGGTGCCGGATCCCAGCCTCAAGTCCTACTGAAGGGCCTGGTAAGCTGCAGGCAGGGCCACCCCATCGCCCACGGCCCAGCGTCCTGCCCTGTGCTGCCCGCCTAGCCCCTCACGGCACCTGCGCTCCGAGTCGCCAGGTTCATGCATCTTCCAGTTTATTTCAACTTTCTGCTGCCAGACATTACCCCCTCTAGAATATCGATCATGCCCAAGAGTGGGAAGGGCCTCCTACCTTGGCACTCGGGGGGTGCGGCGCTCCAGGTCCCGGTGGCCAGGCACCGGAGCTCGTGTGCCCCCACCAGGAGAAAGCCTTTGGCACAGGCGAAGCTGCAGGCGGACTGGTACCTCGAGGCGCCAAAGGGGTGAACGCACTTCACCCGGGCGTGGTTTGGAGCCGGAAGATCCTGGCACTGCAGAGCTAAGGGTGAGGAAGGGAGAGAGTGAGGGAGCGAGGAAATGGCAGTACACAAGTTCTCATTGCTCCCTGCCCCTTGGCCCAAGTTCCTGCCAAGAACAGGGGCTTCTGAATGGGGCGCAGTTAACCTGGAGAGTGAGAAAGTGTCCTGTCATCGCGAGGGGGCTGAGGAAGAGGCAGGGCCGTTGTTAACCGGCTGAGCAATATGTATCCATACTTTTCAGAATATCATACCTTTGGACCCAAGAGTCTATGCTGAGTATGCCATCAACATGCATATCGAAACCTCAGTTCATAGATGGTTTAATCATGGCATTAGCTATAAGAGCAAAATATTGAAAACAAAAATATAAATGCCACTGATCAGAGGCTGAAAATGAATGATGGTGGGTCTGTGGGAGGAACATGGAGGGTCACTACAAAGGGTGTATTTCCCCTTGAACAGAGATGGGAGGTCCCTAACGGTGTGATGTGAAGTGAAGAAGCAGAACATAAGTTGCCTGCCCTCCTGCAGCGTGGTCTCCGTCATATGAAGCAGATGGTCAGACAGAGAGAACACGTGGACGCTACAGAGGCTAGGTCTCATCTTTACAGCCAGGACAATCACTGTAGCTACCGAAGTGAGGTAGACTAGCGTGCTCCCTGAATGTCACCTGGGTGTTATTGGGAGCGGCAGCCATAGCAGTGGCAACAGCCGTAACGAATGGTAGTAATGCCATTACGCTCTGCACCAGACACAGACCGGACACTGGGAGCTCATCGGGGGTCTGAGACACGTCTCGGAGGCGTGAGAGAATAAATACGCAGCTGTCTCTTCTGGATGACAAGAGTGGCTCCCGCGAGGGCTAAGACATGAGCGTGTCCAGGGCTCCCGTGTCTTTGCCTTTCAGGCAGGGACCTGCTGTGCACACCATGACTCTCCTGCACCCCCCATCATGGTGCACGGCCATCTCCTCCCCCACGGCCTCTTTTTCTTTCAGTTTTTTCATTGTGGTAAAATACACATAAAATAAAAGCTACCACTTACCACGTAACCATTTTTAAGTGTGCAGTTCAGTGGTATTGAGTGCATTCCTACTGACCATAACCACCACCATCTCCTCAACAATTTTCGTCATCGCAAACTGAAACTCCACACCCGTCACATAGTAACTGCCCATGGCCCCTTCTCCCTGCCCCTGGCAACAGCCACTCTGCCGTGTGTCCACAACCCTGACTACGTTATGACCTCCTACAAGGGGACTTTGCAGCATTTGTCCTCCTGTGGTCAGCCTCTCTCACTCTGCACAATGTCCTAGAGGTTTGTTCACGGTGTGGCATATGTCAGAATCTCCTCCTTTTGAAGGCTGAATAATATTCCATTGCATGTTTGTGCCACATTTTGTTTATCTATTCGTCTGCTGATGGGCATGTGGGTGGCTTCCCCATTTTAACTATTATGAATAATGTGCTATGGACATGGGTGTGCAAAAATCTTTTCAAGACACAGATTTCAAACCACTGCCTATTTCTAAGTCAGACTCAGGGATTGACATAAATTGCCCAGAGCTCCCAGCACCCGCCTTTGCAAAGCGCTCAGCAGCTTTAAGCTTGCTTTACACACACTAACTCATGCCCACTGGTAAGGCAGGTAGGCCAGGCAGAGAGCAGCACCCCCATGTTACCGAAGACACTGAGCCTCAGAGAGACCAAAGCTTGTTGGCAGGAAATGACCGAACTAGACTGAATGCCTCGTCCTTCTGCCATCCCATGCCCTTCCTCAGACACCATCCCTGCCTCCCAGCTCCGTCTCCTTCACGGCAGGAAATGACCGAACTAGACTGAATGCCTCGTCCTTTATCCTTCTACCATCCCATGCCCTTCCTCAGGCACCATCCCTGCCTCCCAGCTCCGTCTCCTTCACACCCGCCCACCCACACGTGTCAATCCATGCAGCCCGACTTTAGTACAATATGCGGTGATGACCACGTTGTGCCCGAGCCTGGCTTTGCTCCCATTTCCTCCCTAGGGTCCGGCACAGAGGGCTCGGCACCTAGTAGGTTCTTTGCGACTGTCTGATGAATAAATGAATGACAGTGCAGATGCTAAATCAGATGCTGATGCCTTTAAGAGGCTGAGGGTTCACCGAGGGATGTTGCCATGTCTCCGTACCTTGACAGAGCGGGGCCGGCGCTGTCCACTGTCCTGCGTCGGCGCACCGGACTGTGTCCGCTCCATGCAGCTCGAACCCCTCGGCACAGTGGAAGCGGCAGGTGGCGTTGTACGGCCATGCCCTCGAGGATGGGGAGCAGTCCACGCTGCCGTGGGCGGGGTGCTCCGGGGGCTCGCACGCGATGGCTGGAGGGAGAGCGTTAGGTCTGCAGCTGGTCACGGAAGGTTCTTCTCAGAAGAGCCCTCCAGAGACGCTGCATCTTTCTACCCATGTTGTCAGGGTGTTCAGAGCCTCAATCCTCCTTTTCCAAAGGGAAACTGCCCAGAACACCTCCCTGGCCTCCTTGCGTGGCCACTCCCCTGCCCTTCAGGTCTCAGCCGAGACCTCACTTCCCTTAAGAACCTCTCTGCCCACCAAGGGGTCAGAGCTGCTCCCACAGCCCCCGGTCCTGCTGTTCGAGCAGGACTGTAACCCTGCCCCTCAGAGTGTGACCCCCTGAGGCCGGAGTCTGTCCTTCAGAGCCTGGCAGTGTTGGGTAGGTCAAGGGCGCCCTTGAAGTATTTGCTGGTGTTACTTGTGGAAGAGGAAGCACAGAGCAGGCTGGACTTTTAGGGAAAAGCTGGGATGCACAGCTTACTGCTGACTCTATTATCCAGCCCCGTAAAGGGGTCCTGAGGGGCTGGACCTCCGGACACAGGAAGCCGTCCTATGGGACCTCAGCCGCCAAGTGCAGCCCGCCAGGTCCCTGAGCGCAGTCAAGCCCGGAGACCTCGGATCTGAGCGACTGGCTTCCCCGCGCCCTTCCTCCTCCAGGCAGTTTCATCTCCAGCTGGTCCTGTGTGTCTGGGCCAGGAAGCACAGAGCAGGCTGGACTTTTAGGGAAAAGCTGGGATGCACAGCTTACTGCTGACTCTATTATCCAGCCCCGTAAAGGGGTCCTGAGGGGCTGGACCTCCGGACACAGGAAGCCGTCCTATGGGACCTCAGCCGCCAAGTGCAGCCCGCCAGGTCCCTGAGCGCAGTCAAGCCCGGAGACCTCGGATCTGAGCGACTGGCTTCCCCGCGCCCTTCCTCCTCCAGGCAGTTTCATCTCCAGCTGGTCCTGTGTGTCTGGGCCTTTTTCAGAGTAAAGACCACCCTCACCCTGGGCTTGGACTTCTGGTCATCACAGAATTGGAGCATTTGCGAACCAAAGATCCTCTCACGTTTTTCACTTTACCCATGAGAAGAGTGAGGCTCACCAAGTTGAAGTGACTTCCCTACGGGCTCATGTCCTACAGGCTCCTGTCCAGACAGTAGCAGAGCCGGCCGTCCTCTGGGCATCCTGGGAATCACCTCACTTCCCTTAAGAACCTCTCTGCCCACCAAGGGGTTGGAGCTGCTCCCACAGCCCCCGGTCATGCTGTTCGTGCAGGACTGTAACCCTGCCCCTCGGAGCGCGGCCCCCTGAGGCCGGAGTCTGTCCTTCATAGTGTAGCTCAGAGCCTGGCAGTGTCGGGTAGGTCAAGGGCACCCTTGAAGTATTTGCTGGTGTTACTTATGGAAGAGGAAGCACAGAGCAGGCTGGACTTTTAGGGAAAAGCTTACTGCTGACTCTATTATCCAGCCCCGTAAAGGGGTCCTGAGGGGCTGGGCCTCCGGACACAGGAAGCCGTCCTATGGGACCTCAGCCGCCAAGTGCAGCCCGCTGGGTCCCTGAGCGCAGTCAAGCCTGGAGACCTCGGATCTGAGAGACTGGCTTCCCCGCGCCCTTCCTCCCCCAGGCGGTTCCATCTCCAGCTGGTCCTGTGTGTCTGGGTGTTTTTCAGAGTAAAGACCACCCTCACCCTGGGCTTGGACTTCTGGTCGTCACAGAATTGGGGCATTTGCGAACCAAAGATCCTCTTGTGTTCCTTACTTTACCGATGAGAAGAGTGAGGCTCACCAAGTTGAAGTGACTTCCCTACGGGCTCATGTCCTACAGGCTCCTGTCCAGACAGTAGCAGAGCCGGCTGTCCTCTGGGCACCCTGGGAATCACTAGCCAGTTTTAACTTCCTGCTACCCTGCCCTGCCTTACCACCTGGCGACCAGGGGGTGAGGCTGGTGCACGGATTCAGCCCTGTGTGTTACTGCCCAGTGCTGCTCATCTGTCCAAGGCCACCTCCATGCCCTGACAGTCTGACTCCCTGTCAAGCACGGGGCGATGTCCCGCAGCCTCTAGGCCAGAGGGCGGGAGGGGAAAGAGAGGCAGACACTGAGGTGGACCGCGTGCCCAGGCACTGACACACGCCATGTAGCTGTCTGCTTCTGTAGACTTCATCCTCACAGAGCCCCTCGCAAATCTGAGCTCAACCCACAGATGCGAGACCCTGCCTCCTAGAGGCTGACCACTTGCCCAGCATCAGAGCCCAGAGGCCATGCTGGTGGTAAGAGGCCTGATTAGCCCACTGGCCACAGCTCCTTCCTGCTGGACGGGCTGCTGCAGGGGCATCCTACCCTCCCCGCTGCAGGCTGTGCCCACTGTGCCACAGCTCCTTCCTGGTGCATAGAGTTCAGGGGCATCCTACCCTCCCCCGCTGCAGGGCTGCGGCTCACTGGCTGGGGCCAGTGCAGGGCATAGAGTTCAGGGGCATCCTACCCTCCCCGCTGCAGGCTGTGCCCACTGTGCCACAGCTCCTTCCTGATGCATAGAGTTCAGGGGCATCCTACCCTCCCCGCTGCAGGGCTGCGGCTCACTGCTGGGCCAGTGCAGCAAATGTGCTGGCCCCTCAATGGACAGCCGGTCAGCCTTGAATTTATAGGTGGAATCATATGCACAGGCAGCACGGGAGGAACACAGCTGGCTCATGTGTGGGGGATTCTGGGAGCTGACAGTGCCCTGCTAGAGAGAACAACCGGGGACAGAGAGAAGATCCTATGGGGAGAGACTATTCCCATAGCTGCAGGGCAATGGTGGAAGCACCTGGAGACCTGGGGGCACAAAGCTGTAAGGTCAGGAGCCTGGGAGTGCCAGTCCTCAGGACTACAGGCTCCTCCCAGGTTCACTCCCACTTCCCTCGACCTTAGAAATCTGCCTCACCCTCCCTACTGTGTGAAATGTCTGCACCTGCTTGAGAGCTGGGAGCTGGGCGAGGGAGACTCACATTCTGTTTCTAGTAAAATTGGCCTCTTAGGCTCCTAGAGACACTCTCTTCCTACCCAGATGCCCCAGGTGCTGAGAGGAAGGGAGAGGAGAGTCAGGCTGCGGCCATGCAGGAAGCTTCTCCACTGCCGGCCAGTCACCTGCACGCCCTGTGGAGGAGGGGGCAGTGGGCCTTGAACATGCCTGCTGCCTGGAGCTCACCTTTGCACACAGGGGCCGAGGCCGTCCATGCCCCCGAGGCCGTGCACCGCACCAGCTCTGGCCCCACCAGCACAGACCCCTCCTCACAGGCGAAGCTGCAGCTGGCCTGGTGCGGGGGTCCCTCTGCGCCGTGCAGGCAGCTCATGCGTCCTCGCTCCGGAGGCCTCAGGGGTGGGCACAGGGTGGCTAAAAACAACCACGGGCAGCGTGTGAGCAGCGGGAAGCCCAGGTCACCGCAGCAGCTTCCTACCTCCCCAGGTGGGGGCATCTGACTCCCCAAGTGACGGGCATCTGCCTCCCCAGGTGGGGGCATCTGACTCCCCAAAAGGCAGGCAGGGCGGGGACTGGGGCTTAGAGGGCACTTTCAGTAGCTGTGTGGAAAGAGCCAAACACCCTTATTTTCCTTTTTTTTTTAGGGAAGCAAAAAAAAAATAGATCAGATTAATAATACTCACTCCCTAAGTCGTCCTTATTGTACTCTGTCCACTTTGCAATTAACAATGGGAGACAGGCCCCTGGGTAGTGCTTTTGCCTGAGAACCCAGACTTACGCTGACTATCTCACTGGACAGACACAAACCATGACAATCATGGTTGATGGGTGACCGCACCAACCAGAGCCCACATCCACTTCAGGCTGCGGTCTTTACCAGGCTGTGCGATGGAGAAAGCTCCTCCTCCCCTCGAAGTTCCCCTTGTCAGTGAGGGTGGGAGGAATGGGGTCCACGCACCTACACACTGTGGGGGCTTATTCGTCCAGGTTCCCGAGGCCAAGCACTCCAGTTCGCGGGGCCCATCCAGCGTGTAGCCTTCGGCGCAGTGGAAGCTGCACCGGGAGTTGAAAGAGAAGCTGCCCAGGGGGTGGCTGCAGTCCATGAGCACACGTGGAGGGAGCTCCAGGCCCCCGCACTCCCTCACTGCGGGGACAAAATTCCAGGTTTCCATCGCAAGCTAACGACAAGGCCAGGCTTGCTGAGAGCCAGAACTGTTTGTACAACCCTCTAACCCTGTCCCCCAGGCTTCCCACCCAGCCTGGTGCTCCTGTGTGGGCTGCATCTAGGGAAATACTCACTCTTCACTCTCCACCTTCGTTTTGCTTCCTTTTAAACTTTTGAGATTTTATGACAAACTAGAGGCCTGGTGCACGAATTCATGCACCAGTGGGGTCCCTTGGCCTGGCCTGTGGGATCGGGCCAAAACCAGCTCTCCGACATCCCCCAAGGGGTCCCAGATTGCTAGAGGGCACAGGCCAGGCCGAGGGACCTCACTGGTGCCTGATCGGGGCCAGGGAGAGATACGAGAGGTTGGCCAGCTGGGAGGGATGGTGGGAGTGCACTAGAGCGTGTCCAGCCCTTCTAGCTCAGTCCGATTGTCCAGACCCCAGCAGCAAGCTAACCTACAGGTTGAAGTGTCTGCCCCCTGGTGGTCAGTGCACGTCCAAGTGAGTGGTTGAGCGGCCTTAGCATATCATTAGCATATTACGCTTTGATTGGTTGAATGGCCAACTGGACAACTGAACACTTGGCATATTAGGCTTTTATTATATAGGATGTTCTCCCCATGGATACAGTGTTTTTAACTCAGAGTGTGTGTCTCGGGGAGCCTGAGTCGGGCAGAGGGACAGGTGGTAGAGAAAGCACAAGCCCATGACCGCAATGTGGATAAAACGGGGCCTCACCGTATTCACATTCTGGTCCGTAGAACCCAGGGTGGCAGGAGCAGGTGTAGTTCCCGATGGTCTCCACGCACTCCCCCTGCTGGCTGCAGGACGTGTCCTGGCAGGAGGCTGTAGGGACAGAGGGGTCAGAGTGTGGAGAAAAGCGGGATCCTTGCTCCAGGCCACAGCCTCTCGGGGGAGACTGCTTTGGCGAGAGGGCACCGCGCCTCGGGCCCCGGGAGAGCAGTCTGTTTCCCGGAGAGGGTGCCACGCGGCTCCAGTATAGGCTGCGTTTTGTGTGGACACAGAGGGACAAAGGGAGCCACAGAGAGAAGGGTCGGCAGAAGCTCCTCCGTGTGCTACCGAACAGCTCGTGGCTTTCCAGCCAGCGGCACTCAGAGCGCCGTGTTCATCCGGAACCTCCGACAGATGTCACAGCACGGGGCTGGGAACCACATGGAGTCACACGTATGACCTCAGTCCTGGCTCTGCTGCCTACCGGTGGCCTTCCTGTGACCTCAGGCAAGTTCCTGCGTGGAACCCAACCTGCCCATCTCTTCCATCTTTTGCCCATTTCAAATCTATGCCCAGTACCACATGGTGAAGGAGCTGAGGAGCCACAAGAGTTGTTCCAGCCCTGCTCCCGGTCAAGGGCAGACAGTTTTATGAGCAGCTGTTTCGCAGGTCTAACTAGCCGGGAATGGGTGGTGCAGAGCCAGCTAACCCGCCGGCCTCCTCACCGAGTCTGTGCCCCGGGTGGCGGACAGAGAAGGGCCAGCATCCCTTTCCCGCAGGAGGCTCTGCGAGGGCGTGTGCCCTGCACGGTAGGCGAAGGGTTACTGGTCTAACTGATGCCATCAGAGTGCTGAGAATGTTTTCATTCCTGTTTTTATTGATGAGGTCAGAGCCGGGCACGGTCTGTTGGTCCACTTTGGGTTCCTACCACAACAGGAAACCCAGCCCTAACCAGTTTGGCTCAGCGGATAGAGCGTCAGCCTGCAGACTCAAGGGTCCCAGGTTCGATTCTGGTCAAGGGCGTGTACCTTGGTTGCGGGCACATCCCCAGTGGGGAGGGAGCAGGAGGCAGCTGATCAATGTTTCTCTCTCATCAATGTTTCTAATTCTCTATCCCTCTCCCTTCCTCTCTGTAAAAAATCAATAAAATATATTTTTTTAAAAAGAGGAAACCCATAGGTCACATCGAGCACTATGCGAGATGATCTCTATGTTTCCGCTCGACTCTGAGATGCTCTGAGTCTAGGAGCCATGCAAGGTTCCACAGGAGTTCCCATGACAACCAGAGAGTTCGGTGATGCTGCACTGAGGCACTGGGAAGGGTTCAAAGTGAAGAGAAGGTGCAGGAGGCAGCAGTAGCTGGTAGAGGAGGCGTGGTCCTCGCCCTCCCTCCTGCTCACCTGGGCCCACCAGGGCCTCGCAGGAGCAATGCCTGCGCCCGGTGCTCACAGAGCACACAGCTTCGTTCTGACTGTGGCTCCCCAGGCTCTCCGAGCTCTAGGGATGAGAAAACAGCCACTGTTCTGTATCTACTCCACTCCGGGGTCTCCATCCAGTTAGCAACGTCTCTATTCCCTTGGAATTCCAGGAAAGACATTAATGACAAATCAATGACTCAATCTTCTTTTGCAAGCCTGTTCTGAGGTCTGACAAATCCTGACATTTATGGAATTATTCAAACTTAATTTCTTGTTGCAGTTTACATGTCTGTTCCTCATCCATCGCCTACAGGGAGCTGATGGTTCCCTACGCCCTTTTCACTGTGATGGCAAAATGCCCGCTCGTGGTAGTGGAGACGAAAGCCAACTGCACGCGGGTGAAATGGTGCCAGTCACTGATGCCAGCCAGTGTTGCAGGGCACAGGGCTGGCAACACTCATGCCAGTGATGTTCAATCTCTTTCCAGTCCTGTAATTGTCTGCACCCTTTACTGGAAAAGACGGCCCAGCAAACATGGGTGCTGGAGGTTGGGAGGGGAGTGGGAGCCATGGCATATCGGAACATCCAGTGGCAGCTGCAGGGACCTCTGGGGACAGGTCAGCTCCCTGACAGCAGGGAGCAGACTGGGAGAGCAGGTGCATGAGGAATATTCTGCAATGTCCGTCCTGGCCTTTGAAGACTAGCTTGTTAGCTAGTGAATTTATTTAATAGCAAATAAATTATTTATAAAATGGGACCTGACTACATGACAATGCATTTATGCATATGTTTTCCCTCAGCTAGGAGGCTTGGGTGAGGAGAGGGAGAAAGTGGAGGGAATACTCTAGACCAGTGTTCGGCAAACTCATTAGTCAACAGAGCCAAATATCAACAGTACAACGACTGAAATTTCTTTTGAGAGCCAAATGTTTTAAACTTAAACTATATAGATAGGTACATTGTTATTAACTTAATTAGGGTACTCCTAAGGCTTAGGAAGAGCCACACTCAAGGGGCCAAAGAGCCACACGTGGCTCGCGAGCCGCAGTTTGCCGACCATGGCTCTAGACTGTGTACGCTGTTCCTATTGTTGAGGGCTTCTAGGGGGAGGTGTTTATAATCTAAAGAAATGAGAAATACACCGCACAATGTGGCACCTGTAAGATGGCTTATTAAGGGAGGAGCTTCAGAATGCGTAGGGCTCTCCTGCTCCGGGTGGTGGGCCCCTTCCCTGGGCACTCCCTCCCACGTGCCCAGGTGCCAGGGCAGGAGGGGCCCCCCAGAGGGCAGCCACCCCAGAAAGATGGCGCCAGTCCTGGCACTGGGCACCTGGATCTGGGAAGACCAAGCTTTGGGGCATGTCTGCTTAGTCTGGAACTGGGAGAGTGTGAACCAAATATGCTCAGAGGATCTCACCTTCAGTCACCTCTTTCCTGACCCCCCACCCCACCAAAGCCCACCGACCTGAAGATATGTTGTCATTGAGGGGAACCTATAAAGCGCCTGGCACCTGGGTCACGTTCTCAGATTGTCTCGTGAGAATGCAGAGCAGAGTGTGGGCGCCTACGCGGCTGAAACGACAGCTCTGAAGTCAGCACGGGTAAAGTCGGCTCCAGCATCGGGGGCTTAGAACCCGGGGCAGGTCCCTTCATGGCTCCAGGCCTTTCCTCGTCAGCAAATGAGAGGAATGGAAGGATGCGTTGAAGAGTCTCATGGGGACTAAATGCCACCGACAGGAAATGGCCTCATGACCTAGTAACTCTGCCTGGAACATACTGATGTCCAGCGGTGTCTCTAGGGGCAGGGCTGCGTTCCCTCTCAGCTTACACTCTCTCTAATGCCACCGACAGGAAATGGCCTCATGACCTAGTAACATGTGGCTCGCGAGCTGCAGTTTGCCGACCACAGCGCTAGGGCACAGCGTGCAAAAGCTCTGGGCCTGCGTTGTAGAGACTACAGCTTCCTGGGCGCCTGGTCCAGCAGCTACTCAATGAGAAGGGAGGGCCGGATGAGAGTCAAACTCCCTTCTGGTTTCAAAAGTCCAGTTCTCTCTCATCCGGGGCTTCTGTTCTCCCAGGTGCTGTGATGCTGCTTGATTGGCAGTCTACTCTGTTTCATGTCCCTGACTCTGACTCCATGGTACCGACCCAGTGGCTGTAGTCGCGAACCAGGGACAGCATTTTTATTAAACAGACAAATTGGGAGTACAGAAGACCTACCTGTGTAGCACAGTGGCCGCTTCTTCCTCCAGCAGGGCTCGTCGTTCCACCTGCCAGGGGCCGACGGGCTCTTGATGTAAATCTCCACGCAGTCCTGGTTGTTCTTCTTGTTGTTGGGCTCGTGGTCGGCCCAGTTCTCAGCCTCCTCGGTGAGCGTCTTATTGGTTCCCACCCAGGTCCATTTATTATTGATCTTCCGGATCCCGATCCAGTAGTAATGGCTGTAGTAAGGAATGACGTCATTGAGGTAAGCAATTTCATCTTTATTCTGGATGGCCACGAGATCGGTGTAGTACTTCTGGCAGAACGTCCGGGAGGCATTCCACGAGTAGGCCTTGCTGCTGATATGATAGGTCCACGCTGCCACCTCTGTCTGGTTCATTAGTTCTACGGGAAGGAGAGGGAGGGCCGGTTAGTCGGCGTTTCTAGCCGGAGGGGCGTGAGCATGAGCACAGCTCTGTGGAGCTGGATGAGTTTCTGACCAGAGGACCAGTGCCCCGAACATGACTCTTTATGTCTAATCTGGTAGTTTTAGGGAAAGAGTGGTTTCCATCTTTCACTTAAAAGTGAGCATGAAGCCACAATAGAAAAATGCCCTCGTGGGGTCATAAGATACCAGAATCGGAAGGGACCTTAGAAGTCATCTAATCGCCTCCTTCTGTAAGTGAAGGGGGCCTGGCAAGTTATTTGCCAAGTTTACATTAAATGACACGTGAAAGGTCTGGGTGGCGGTCTCGGATCTGCAGATCCCAGCTGCTCACATGGAAACTAAGATGTGTCAGGCCCCGGAGCCTGCCGGCTGGCCCCGCTCCTCACCCACCACATTTAACTTCTTAGCCAAACAGAACCCCCACTTCCAGGCCTTGGCACCTGCTCTTCCTGCTGCCCGGGCTGCCGCCCACCTGTGCCTGCTACACTCCCCCTCGGGTTTTCTGTGACACCCAGGTAGGCTTGGTGTTTCCCTCTGGCCCCCACTGCCTCCCCTCCGCCTCCACCTCCCTGTTGCTGTGTTCTGTAGTGTCTGTTTCTCCGACCCGGTCCACACCTGTGGAATGTGAATCGGATGGTGCTCTCTTTGGAGCTCTGGCTCCTTTACCGCAAGCATAGAGCTTGGGCCTTACCAGGCTCGGTAAGTACTGGCTGTGAAACCCCAGGCTGGGGCAGCGGCGGGTTAGACGTCAGACCTGGCTTGCAGTCGTACACTCATCCCACTGCTCGCGACTGTTTCTCTTTGATAAATTACTTCCTCCGCCTCTGCTTACTCACTTGTGAAAGTTTAAAACGGGCCTTTGAAAGAATTGTTGGTGATGTCAAATGAAATAAAGAATGTGCCCTTCGAGCGCATGAAGGGCACGCATGACGGTGCAGTGTTACCACAGCCAGCGGAGCGCAGCGAGCAGGGGCCGTTCCCGTGCGGAGAGGTGGACATCAGCAATCAGGCCTGGAAGCGGCTCCCTTTCCTGTTTATAGTCTTCTTCCTACTCAACCTCCTCTGCTGCCGCGTGAGGCTCTTGGGGGCCCTCCCTCCCTGACACCTTTGCTGATTGTTCTGCCATAAGACTTTGTTCTGCGATTGCCAGGGCTGCGTTATGACTTCCACCAGCTCCAGGGAACTCTGCCTTTGTGGGCCCCTTCTTCCATAATGTTTATTAAAAACTACATTTTAGCCCAGCTGGCGTGGTTCAAGTTGAGCATGGTCCTATGAACCAGGAGGTCACGGTTTGATTCCAGGTCAGGGCACATGCCCGGGTTGCGGGCTCGATCCCTAGTGGTGGGGGGTGCAGGAGGCAGCTGATCAATGATTCTCTCTCATCATTGATGTTGCTACCTCTTTCTCCCTCTCCCTTCCTCTCTGAAATCAATAAAAATATATTTTTAAGAACAAAAAAACCCATATTTTACAACTGCATTGGCATAAAGACGAATCTATTAATATTGTGTCCTATAAACTTTTTCTTTGACCTACTAGTAGAAGGAAATATTTTTTAAAGAAATTGTGGGTGTGTCAGAGTAACGTGGGCCTGGGCCTCCTGTGCTGGATGGATGGGGAACTTGGTCCCGGACGGATCGTTCCAGTTCTTCCTGAAGCCTTATCTAGCAGTGGGATGGTGGTGGGTGCATTTTTCCTTCCAGGAATCTGGGCTAGGACAGCTCCCCATCCTCACCACAACTGGCTTCCATCCCTCATTTCTCCCACTTGGAGAAGTTACCCTAACCACTTGGGGCCACATGCAGGGTTAGCAGAAAGGTTACCAGAGAGCAGGGCACCGAGGCGGAGGAGCTGAGCGGCTATGAAGACCACGCCCCGAGACCTCCAGTTCCAGGTGGCACTCGGGCAGCGAGCCTGAAACGAGAAAAGAGAGCGTCCTCTCAGTGCGCGTGTGCACTCCAGTCCAGAACGGTTATGCTGGGTTGCCGTCCTGCCCGTTTCCACTAAGGGGGTGGCCAAGCCCTCTCCCCACTTCCTGTTTCTCACTGTTCTGCATCTGAGTCCCACCTGGCTGGACTCCACACCAATGCCGTGTCGTTTCTCCCTTCATTCGACGCATATGTATTGAGTAACTATTTCATGCTATTTATATTTTTCTTCTATAATACGTTTTGTAATGTGATTGTAAAAGAAACACAGTCATTATTTTTTGCAATAATCTCCCTTTAGGAACTGGTGTGCCGCACCCAAGGATAATGGGAAATCACACGAAAAGGGTCTGATCCACACCGTGGACTGTGAGCACCGTGGTGCTGGGCTTGGCTGTGGCTTACAAACCCACGTTTGGCCTTCCTGCTTGGCCATGTCAGCATGCATCACAATACCGTCCAGTGCTCCATAGACATGCATGTGTACATATATATTTCTACTCGGATATATCGCTCTTCCCTTGGATCTGTAGCCTGTATTGTTTTCTATGAGTTCCTTCTGTTGGGATCTCATCAAATCTATTAAAATTTTTAAAAAAATCTTTTTAGGTAAGTCAGTTGTAGAAATGCTCTTCTTGCCCAACACCATCGTGTTGCACATGAAAACATGAAAGATTGGAGAGTCTAAAACGATGGATTCAAAATGACAGCAGCAGAGCCTGACTTTGAAACAAGAGCTTGACCACTTCACTCTTTTACCTTCATGCACCTCCAGGCCTCCACATCCATGCTGCGCTGTGGTAGATGACAGAGCATGTGACGGGCCAAGCCTCGCTGCTGCCTGGGTGCCCCTCCACCCCACCCCAACGCATCTATCAATGTAAATGCCGTGTATGCACTTGCTTAGCATTGAAGCTGTATCGCTCTTCCAGCCAGACTGCCACCTAAAACCCTCCTGTGTAGAAATTCAGAATTGCATAGCCCATGCTCCAGTGATGGGTGCTGCAGGGTGTATGGTGTGTGTGTGTGTGTGTGTGTGTGTGTGTCACATGCACTGTTGACCACAGTCTGACTAGATAGTGGGGCAGACATGACTCAAATCAGGGCAAGTCTCCCAGACAGTGGGTTATGGTTGTATAAGAAGCCTGGCACTTTTCCATCTTGGAGTTCCTGAATATTGGCTTTGGGACCAGGGAGGGAAGACGGGGATCTCCCCCTCGTCCAAACCCTTCACATGGATCCTATTGACTGCACCTTGTGACAAAATACCTGGCCATTCTCCAGATTTTCACTTCACCCTACAGCACTGCCTTAGTTGCCACCCCTTCTCTCCGGGACCGGCATACTCATCTGCTAACCCCTCGCCTCTCCTCAAGATTGCCCATCTCCCACCTCCCTCTAGGGTGCAGTCAGCATGATATTCCTATGCAAGCATCGGGTTGCATTGCTTCACTACGTACAACCCACCAGCTGGCCCTGCTCCTTGGGCAGTCCATCCACTGTCAAGATGACACACCCGGGTCCTTTAAGATGGGACCTCCCCTATTTATCTAGTCCAGCATTTCTCCACTTGGTGTGCTGCAAGGATTTTTAAAACAGGCAATACCTGACTACTTAGTCAGGGACACTGCCTCTTTTCTCTTATGTTGTCAATTTAAAAAATGACAACAGCCAACACTACAATAGCCAACCAGTGTGAATGAATCAAAATTATACCTATTTTATTGTCAGGTCAGTAAAATATATATATTTGGGTGTGCCACAGAATTTTAGTAATTTGCTTTAATGTGTGCCATCAGATGAAAAAGGTTGAAAATCACTGTGCTATGCTATGCTCCCAGAATATATATCCACTCTTCCTTTCTGATCCTATCATTGATGTTTCTATCTCTCTCTCCCCCTCTTCCTTCCTCTCTGAAATCAATAAAAATATATAAAATATATTTTTAAAATTATACCTATTTTTTGTCATATTGGCAAAAATATGTATATATTTTGGTGTGCCTCCAAATTTCAGCAATTAGTTTATGTGTGCCAGGAGGTGAAAAGGGTGGAAAAGCGCTGGTCTAGTCTCAGCTCCTGATATGACCCCTCCATTGAACCCCCCAACAATGAAGTCACAACACAACGTCGTGTAGTTTCCTGGATGTACTATATGTCCTCTGTGTCCTCGAGCCCAGAGCACCTCCTCCTCCCATGTGTGCCTCGCTCTGCAAGTCCACACACCTCCTCCGAGGAGCGCCCGTCCCCACACCCGTCCTCTCACACCAGGATCAGAGCTACCTCCCCGCCTGGGCTTTTCCCACCGCACACTTCAATGACTGCTGATTTATTACATGCGATGATGTGTCAGCCTTTGTTCAAGGCACTGGTGTTAACATGATAAAAACAGACTTAATTCCTGTCCTAATGGAATGTATGTCCCATTGAGGAAGACAGACAATGAAACAAGCATCAATAAATATACAACAGTGCGAAACGAGGAAACAGACGACGTAGAAAGCAGTTATAAGTGACAGGGAGGGAGTGCAGGTGGGGTCGTGTGACAGAGGGCCCGGTGGTTACGTTAGACACGGAGGCCAGGGCAGGGGACGTGCCGCCAAGAGCACAGTGAGCAGAAGAATCCAGCGGCCAGAAGCAGGAGGAAGCGCATTAAAGACGGAAGGAAAGCGATGGTGAAGGCTCTGGTGGGCGCTAAGAGTGGAGAATGTGGAGAACAGGAAGTCATCGGGGTGGCTGGCATGGAACGGGCAAGGCGGAGAAGGGTGTGAGATGAAGCTGGTGACGTTTCACCCTGGGAAGCAAAGCAGCAGAATGAGACTTTGTTCTAGTGCCATGAGAAGCTGGAGGTGGAGGGGGGGTGGGGCTTCAGAGAGGTAGTGATGTGGTCCGATTGCTGGTGAAATTGCAAGGGGCCAGGTCTTGTGCTTCTGAAATGACAGTCGCAGAAGGACTCCAATGGCCAGGGTTCTGGACAGAGAAGCATCCTGAACATCTGCATCTGCCCATGGTGTGGGGGTGAGTGAGCAGCAGGAGGGTGCGCTGTGAAAGCAGCAGGCTGCTGTGACGGTCCCCGTGAGAGTGCAGAGGCCTGGCTGGGGCTGGGCCAGCGGGAGGGCACACGGGGAGCACAGGTGAAGGTCATTGAGGAGGCAGAACTATCCAACTTGTTGGCCGCGTCCAGGCTTCACAGCCGATGGAACAGTATTTCCCTACGTTTCTGGGTGGTGGTGTTGGTGCACGGATGTTAGTAGCCCCACATAAAAAATACAAAATGAAACACCGTGGAAAAAAAGAGGTCTCTAGGCCGAACAGAAAATTAGAAATAGGAACCGGAGGAAACCAAGGACATCGACACTAAGAATTAAAGCATATATTTAAATTAGGCAGCTGGTCACCATTACTCAGGGGGAAATGGCGCCATTAAAAAGAAAGTAACATACCTAACTTTTTAAAAAGTCTGTTGGATAATGGCTGAGTTATCTCCCCACAAGAATAAAGGATTGTTTTGTATTCGATGTTATAAAATTTCTGTTTTGCCTTTCGACCAGAGAAGTTAGACACCTCGAAGACAGCGGAGCGAGTGTCGTCTAGGAAACCACCCTGCGCCTACTCTCTGGGCCAGGGGTGGGGAACCTTTTCTCTGCCAAGGGCCATGTGGATATTTATAGCATCTCTCGGGGGCCGTACAAAACTATCAACTTAAACATTAGCTTGCTAGTTTTGCTCAAACATTTAATTAACTCATCCCGAATGCCTTGGCAGGGCCAGACCCAGTGATTTCAGGGACTTTATAAGGGACTCCATGAGCTGGCTGTTCCCCACCCCTGCCCTAGGGTGAGCTCGGGGGTCTTCTCTCAGAGCCGACTGTTACACAGCAAGCCCTTGTGATCTCGGGGGGATTGATAAGCTCCCACTCACAGAGCTCTGAAGCTGGACATTCTAACAGCCAGTGGCCAGCCCAGGAAAATATGAACCATTTAGTTGCATTTTGAAAAACAAGTAATGGAAGGAAGAGTAAGAACTAGATGCCACAGGTCTAAGATGGGTAGAGGTATAAATGGAAGAGAATCCAGCCCGGCTGGTGTGGCTCAGTGGTTGAGCACTGTCTCATGCACCGAGGTCACCAGTTCGATTCCCTGTCAGGACACATGCCCCAGTTTCGGGCTCCATCCTCAGTAGAGGGGGAAGGGGGGCAGGAGGCAGCTGATCTATGTTTCTCTCTCAGAGATGTTTCTATCTCTCTCTCCCTCTCCCTTCTCTCTAAAAAAAATAATATATTTTAATATACTTAATATATTTTATATTTAATATATTTTAAGAATGAATAAATGAAAGAGAATCCAGGCCTGCTCTGCTCCTTAGCCCCTAGAAACTTGACTAACACTAGCACCATTTTCCTGTATGTTTCCATCAGGAGCTCCACTGCCGAGCCCTACCCGACTGAGAACGTACCGTTGCTAAACCTTAACCTCTCTCCTCAGGTCTTAGGGCAGCCGTGGGCAAACTACGGCCCGCGGGCCGGATCCAGCCCGTTTGAAATGAATAAAACTAAAAAAAAAAAAAAGACCGTACCCTTTTATGTAATGATGTTTACTTTGAATTTATATTAGTTCACACAAACACTCCATCCATGCTTTTGTTCCGGCCCTCCGGTCCAGTTTAAGAACCCATTGTGACCCTCGAGTCAAAAAGTTTGCCCACCCCTGTCCTAGGGGCTAATTGAAGCCACTCTCTGAACTTGAGCCAAATTACACACATGGTTTCAGGTTCCTGAATCCCTGAAAGTCAAATGTGTTAAAGAGCAAAGGAAGAGGTCTTGCCTTTGTGACATTTAAAACAATTCCAGGGCGTGGCGCCCTGCACTTCACTGCAGAGCCCCGTCTCAGCTGAGGACGCCACGAGGAGTTTCTGAGCATAAAGCCTGGATGGTGACAGGGTGGGGCTCTCAACCTGGGCCCCACATGGAGGTTGTGGGGACCCCCCTCTGGTTTTCCACGGAGCTTGGTGCTTATGTGGATGTTTGCATTTTATCTGGGAAGAGGACTTCTTTCATCTGAATCTCAAAGAACACCAAGACCCAATAGGTTAGCATCCCCCCAAAACAGAGGAGGACCCCGAAGGGAACAGAAGGAAGAGAGGATGACTGCTCATTCATTCAAGTTGACCAATTCAGGAAGCCTAGGATACGCCAGAGATAAGACAAGAGTGACCCACATGCTATGTCATCGGGTTCAAGCTCAGGCCAGGCTGAAACCCCTTCCTCTTCTCTTCATCGTTCTCTACCCGTCTCCCAACACAGAGTCCTCGGTATTCGAATTAGCAAAGCGTCCTCGTTACAGGAATTAGCAAATCGCACTGCAGTTGCAGCAGGGCGGTGGGGGAATCAGGTACGAGGCGTCCCAGAGGAAGAGACTCAAACACAGAGACGGGTCCTGCCCAGCAGCCTGGGCTGTAGCCCTGGGACTGCAGGAGGTACTCCTGCTGAGCTGGGGTGAAAGCCGCCCGTGTCTCATCTCAGCTCATGTTAAGGAATTAGGCCTTTCTCCTCAGATCTTCCCTGGACCCAAGCCTCACTAAACCCAGGCATTTTCTCTTTCTCCGAACCATGGTGGGGAACCTTTACTTACCAGTAGCTACGGGCCAGGCTCAGAGCTACTTGCTTTTAGCGTAATTTTATTTCATCCTCATAATGACACTATAGATCAGAATACTATTTAATCATTTCACAGAGGAGGAAACTGAGTCACTGGCAGGACTGAGACTTCAGGCAGAAATTGAGACCACGTGGACATGCCCCACCAGTCCCAGCAGACGCCTGGGGCTCAGAGAAAGAAATAGGAGGCAGGGGAGGGGAAACACATCAGCCGTAGGCGAGCCCCAGGCACGTGCTCAGCCTTGCGTTCAACCCAGAGAGGAGAGCATCCCTGGAGAAGGGCCCAGGGATGGAGAAGGGCCCAGGGATGGAGAAGGGCCCAGGGATGGAGAAGGGTCCAGGGATGGAGAAGGGCCCAGGGATGGAGAAGGGCCCAGGGATAGAGAAGGGCCCAGGGATGGAGAAAGGCCCAGGGATGGAGAAGAGCCCAGGGATAGAGAAGGGTCCAGGGGAGTCCCCGTGAGCCCTCCTGGATGCCAGAGGCCAGGAGCCCAGGGGCAGACAGCGCCTACCCGTGCAGCTTCAGTGAAACCCCAGCCCCAGCCCAGAGTCCCTGGAAATCACCTCCGCTCCCGAGGGTGCGGGGAGGGTGGGTCAGGCGACGGCTGGCTTTGCAACCCTCACAAGCTCTGAGGGCTCATCCACAGAGAGCCGCGTGCCTTGCTATTCCTCATTTCCTGACCTGTTACCTGTCTGAGTCAGCCCCAAACCCCTTCATGTCACCCCCTGCCCGGAGGAAAGAGACGTGGACTTACCATCTCTTCTGTGCCCGGCTGGTTCTGCCGTCTGCCCAGCCCCGGCGCCTCCTGTTCTTATAGCCTTGCTGCTGGCCCTCAGTGTCAGCTGTTTAGAACAGCAACTTCCTACTCACTTGCCAGAAATCCACCACAGCCCTTCCCACGAAATGAAAGCTGATAACCCAGGAGCAGAGCTGGAGGCGGGCAGAGCAGTGGCCGAGGAGCAGGGGTCGCATCCCCCGTGGGGGGGATGCTCTGGAGCCGGGCAGGTGTGACTCACTGCCGGGCATCCCCGAGGAGCAGGCAGGGGGAGCACCCTCACCCGGGTCAGGTCCCCTTTGATGATGACACGAGCCCCACCGTAAGTTCACTTATTTGGAAAGCAAGCTTTATCTTGACTGTAAAGGCTTAGTGTCCATTGTCCACTCATTGCGAGGCCCCAGCGCCTGCCTTCCATCCCAGCAGCTTCTGGGGGAGGGAACAAATATCGCAGGACAATGATTAGGCAGGAGGAAAAGGCCACGGAGGGATTCTGGCAACAGTGGGCAGGGGAGATTGCTGGAAAGAGTTTTGAAATGAAATGTGAAACAGACATGGGGCCCTAGCAGGTTTGGCTCAGTGGGTAGTGTCGGCCTGAGGACTGAAGGGGCCTGGGTTCGATTGCGGTCAAGGGCATGTACCTCCTTGCAGCTCCTCCCTGGCCCAGGACCTGGTCGGGGCTTGTGCAAGAGGCAACCAGTTGATGTGTCTCTCTCACATGGATGTTTCTGTCTGTCTTTCCCTCTCTCTTCCACTCTCCCTAAAAATCAAAGGGAAAATGTCCTCTAGTGAGGATTAAAAAAAAAACAAACAACCAGACATGGGTCATTATTAGGAAGGAACTTGGGCTTCTTATATCAGAAAAAGACATAAACGTGGAAGGGTTGGCGCATGGAGGTGGATGGCGTGTAGCGCAGTGTGAGACGGTCGCTGTGACCACACTGCCCAGGCCTCCCTGGCTGAGTGTGTCTCCTCCCTGGCTGAGTGTGCCTCCCCCTGGCTGAGTGTGCTTCCCCCATGGCCGAGTGTGCCTCCTCCCTGGCCGAGTGTGTCTCCTCCCTGGCTGAGTGTGGCTCTCCGTTAGGCAAGTGACTGAAACTTTCAGGGCCTCCGTTTACTGGGCTGGGAAGCAGAAAGGCAGTGACAGACTTACCCTGAGGGCTGCTGGGTGAGGATGAGTCCATCCCTGTAGCAGCTACGCTGGAGCCCCAGGTGAAACCCCTAGGGGCACTCAGTGTCAGCTGCCATTGTTACTTTTCAGACTTGCAATCAGACAACACAAGCAAATATCAAATATTTCCTGTCAAGTCAGAAAACCGTCACTGCAGCTTCTCCTCTCGGAATCCTGGCTTGCAGGTCGGGCTGGCCTCCACTCCCCCACGAGTGTTCCAGCTCCTCAGTGGGCATCTCCTGCCTGGACTAAACCTGGAGGGAAACAGAAAGGTCTGGAGGGAGGCCCAAGACCGTGAGGCGTTCAGGAGCTGGGAGCTGCATCTGCACTGAGGACGTGGGGGCCGAGAGGAAGGGCACGATTTCATGGCAGAAACACAAAGCCTGGTGACGGAGGAGGTGATGAAGGAAGGAGAGAGGGGGCAGGGGACTTGGAGGCAGCGATGCAGGTTCAGCCCCCCCACCCCCCCCCACCCCACACACACACACTCCCGGGAGCCAGACGGCTGGGCTCCACTAGCCCCTGGCTATGTGACCTGGGCCAGTTAACCCCTGTGACTCAGTCCCCTGAGCACACTCATAAACAAGGAAACCAGTCACCCACAGTCACCAAACACAAGTGTTAGGACAACTGACTGGGTTTGCACATCAAGTGCTCAGAACAATCCCTGGCTCGCTGAGGGCGCTGAGGGCGAGGCCGGTTTCCCTGTGCTTTTGCTCCACTCGCCTCCACTTCCTCTGCTCTCATTCTCAACGCCAGCCCTTTCCCATGGCCTCTTTTTCCCTTTCCTAGTTTCTCAGGTGGGTGTGAGGGAAGGTGCGAGGTAGCCTGTAGGTTCTAAAACTGGACTCAACGTGTTTTAAGTTGGATATTAAATGTTAAGGGTTTTCAGGGAAGTAGGAAAAGATCCCAGGAATAGGAGTGGGAGGAAAATACCGTTGGACTTTGTTTCAAAGCTGTTCAGGCCGAACACCATTTGCTCATTTGGTTATCATCTCCTGTCCCAAGTAGATCCCGGGAAAGGATCTGGGGAGTTATCCAAGGCGTTCTTTGAGATAAACTTTAACTGTGCAGGTGTTCGAACATTCAAGTAGTTGCTAGCGAAGAGGCTTCAGTTTTAAGCATACGCAAAATGATTCAATTAACTGCCGGAGGAATTACACCACATGAAACATATGAAATTGCACAGCACTTTATTACTCACAAAAGTTCCTGATGCTGCGGGTACAAGGTAAACGGGATCCCAGTGGTGTTGTCCTCTGGGGTCCAGCACCTGGGCTGGGCTGGTCCGGGTGCAGGGGCCGACGTTCCTCACCCGAGAGCTTGGTCGCTTCTCGATCGGGAGGTACTAGCCATTCTTCTGTCCTCTGGCAGAGTGGCATCACTTGCCAGACTGGCAAAAGGATGTGCCTTTGTGGCTGTCTCGACAGGCGAGCACTGTTGGCTGGTCAGGACCAATTTTTAAAGCCTGTTTCATACCTGCAGCAGTTCAGGTGGCTATCAGTGAATTGTGTCAATGCACACATGTTAATCTTAAACAGGGTGAGGGGCTACATATGGTTACTCTGAGTCAGTAATCGAAGTTCAAATCCTTATCTATGGGGTACACACACTTCAGGGCAGTGGGGAATGTGTCCTTAATATCACACTTTAAGTTTCAGGAAAGTTAACTCAAACATTTTAAAAACTTTTAAAACATTTTTTAGAAATTTTTAAACTTTTTAAAACATTTCTATATTTTACTACAACATCTCCATAGAGCATTTAGGTGGTTTCCAGTTATGTGGCCACGAAACCTACAATTCCAAAAAAAATAATTAGAAGTCTCATCTGGTTCATATATGTTTTCTCCTCTCTTCATAGTGGACTGCAGATCCCCAGGGCAGGGGCGCTGCCCATGCAAGTCCCTGGTAGCATCTCTCAGAGAACAGACACCAACACTGCGGGTTCCTCAATAGGCCTGATGGCTCTGGGGGGCACCGTAAGTCTCCCCCCGCCTCCCTCTGCCCTCTGTTTATCTTATCCCATGGTGCAGTCTAGACACAGGAAA